TCTGTCTGTGTGCTAGTGGAGGCGTCTGTCTGTGTGTCAGTGGAGGCGTCTGTCTGTGTGCTAGTGGAGGCGTCTGTCTGTGTGTCAGTGGAGGCGTCTGTCTGTGTGCTAGTGGAGTCGTCTGTCTGTGTGCTAGTGGAGGCGTCTGTCTGTGTGTCAGTGGAGGCGTCTGTCTGTGTGCTAGTGGAGGCGTCTGTCTGTGTGTCAGTGGAGGCGTCTGTCTGTGTGCTAGTGGAGGCGTCTGTCTGTGTGTCAGTGGAGGCGTCTGTCTGTGTGCTAGTGGAGACGTCTGTCTGTGTGACAGTGGAGGCGTCTGTCTGTGTGCCAGTGGAGGCGTCTGTCTGTGTGTCAGTGGAGGCGTCTGTCTGTGTGCTAGTGGAGGCGTCTGTCTGTGTGACAGTGGAGACGTCTGTCTGTGACAGTGGAGGCGTCTGTCTGTGTGTCAGTGGAGGCGTCTGTCTGTGTGTCAGTGGAGGCGTCTGTCTGTGTGTCAGTGGAGGCGTCTGTCTGTGTGCTAGTGGAGGCGTCTGTCTGTGTGACAGTGGAGGCGTCTGTCTGTGTGCCAGTGGAGGCGTCTGTCTGTGTGTCAGTGGAGGCGTCTGTCTGTGTGCTAGTGGAGGCGTCTGTCTGTGTGACAGTGGAGACGTCTGTCTGTGTGCCAATGGAGACGTCTGTCTGTGTGACAGTGGAGACGTCTGTCTGTGTGACAGTGGAGGCGTCTGTCTGTGTGTCAGTGGAGGCGTCTGTCTGTGTGCTAGTGGAGGCGTCTGTCTGTGTGTCAGTGGAGGCGTCTGTCTGTGTGCGAGTGGAGACGTCTGTCTGTGTGCCACTGGAGACGTCTGTCTGTGTGCTAGTGGAGGCGTCTGTCTGTGTGTCAGTGGAGACGTCTGTCTGTGTGCTAGTGGAGGCGTCTGTCTGTGTGACAGTGAGGCGTCTGTCTGTGTGCTAGTGGAGACGTCTGTCTGTGTGTGTCAGTGGAGGCGTCTGTCTGTGTGCTAGTGGAGACGTCTGTCTGTGTGCCAGTGGAGGCGTCTGTCTGTGTGCCAGTGGAGACGTCTGTCTGTGTGTCAGTGGAGGCGTCTGTCTGTGTGTCAGTGGAGGCGTCTGTCTGTGTGACATTGGAGGCGTCTGTCTGTGTGCTAGTGGAGGCGTCTGTCTGTGTGCCAGTGGAGGCGTCTGTCTGTGTGTCAGTGGAGACGTCTGTCTGTGTGCAAATGGAGGCGTCTGTCTGTGTGCTAGTGGAGGCGTCTGTCTGTGTGCCAGTGGAGACGTCTGTCTGTGTACTAGTGGAGTCGTCTGTCTGTGTGCCAGTGGAGGCGTCTGTCTGTGTGACAATGGAGGCGTCTGTGTGTCAGTGGAGGCGTCTGTCTGTGTGCTAGTGGAGGCGTCTGTCTGTGTGTCAGTGGAGGCGTCTGTGTGTCAGTGGAGGCATCTGTCTGTGTGCCAGTGGAGGCGTCTGTCTGTGTGCCAGTGGAGGCGTCTGTCTGTGTGTCAGTGGAGACGTCTGTCTGTGTGACAGTGGAGACGTCTGTCTGTGTGTCAGTGGAGACGTCTGTCTGTGTGATAGTGGAGGCGTCTGTCTGTGTGCCAGTGGAGACGTCTGTCTGTGTGCCAGTGGAGACGTCTGTCTGTGTGCCAGTGGAGGCGTCTGTCTGTGTGCTAGTGGAGGCGTCTGTCTGTGTGCTAGTGGAGACGTCTGTCTGTGTGTCAGTGGAGGCGTCTGTCTGTGTGTCAGTGGAGACGTCTGTCTGTGTGCCAGTGGAGACGTCTGTCTGTGTGCCAATGGAGGCGTCTGTCTGTGTGACAATGGAGGCGTCTGTCTGTGTGTCAGTGGAGACGTCTGTCTGTGTGACAATGGAGGCGTCTGTCTGTGTGCTAGTGGAGGCGTCTGTCTGTGTGACAATGGAGGCATCTGTCTGTGTGCTAGTGGAAGCGTCTGTCTGTGTGCCAGTGGAGGCGTCTGTCTGTGTGCTAGTGGAGGCGTCTGTCTGTGTGCTAGTGGAGGCGTCTGTCTGTGTGCTAGTGGAGGCGTCTGTCTGTGTGTCAGTGGAGGCGTCTGTCTGTGTGCTAGTGGAGGCGTCTGTCTGTGTGCCAGTGGAGGCGTCTGCCTGTGTGCTAGTGGAGGCGTCTGTCTGTGTGTCAGTGGAGGCGTCTGTCTGTGTGCTAGTGGAGGCGTCTGTCTGTGTGTCAGTGGAGGCGTCTGTCTGTGTGCTAGTGGAGACGTCTGTCTGTGTGCTAGTGGAGGCGCCTGTCTGTTTGTCAGTGGAGGCGTCTGTCTGTGTGCTAGTGGAGGCGTCTGTCTGTGTGTCAGTGGAGGCGTCTGTCTGTGTGCTAGTGGAGGCGTCTGTCTGTGTGACAATGGAGGCATCTGTCTGTGTGCCAGTGGAGGCGTCTGTCTGTGTGCTAGTGGAGGCGTCTGTCTGTGTGTCAGTGGAGGCGTCTGTCTGTGTGCTAGTGGAGGCGTCTGTCTGTGTGTCAGTGGAGGCGTCTGTCTGTGTGCTAGTGGAGACGTCTGTCTGTGTGCTAGTGGAGGCGTCTGTCTGTGTGTCAGTGGAGGCGTCTGTCTGTGTGCTAGTGGAGGCGTCTGTCTGTGTGTCAGTGGAGGCGTCTGTCTGTGTGCTAGTGGAGGCGTCTGTCTGTGTGTCAGTGGAGGCGTCTGTCTGTGTGCTAGTGGAGACGTCTGTCTGTGTGACAGTGGAGGCGTCTGTCTGTGTGCCAGTGGAGGCGTCTGTCTGTGTGTCAGTGGAGGCGTCTGTCTGTGTGCTAGTGGAGGCGTCTGTCTGTGTGACAGTGGAGACGTCTGTCTGTGTGACAGTGGAGGCGTCTGTCTGTGTGTCAGTGGAGGCGTCTGTCTGTGTGTCAGTGGAGGCGTCTGTCTGTGTGTCAGTGGAGGCGTCTGTCTGTGTGCTAGTGGAGGCGTCTGTCTGTGTGACAGTGGAGGCGTCTGTCTGTGTGCCAGTGGAGGCGTCTGTCTGTGTGTCAGTGGAGGCGTCTGTCTGTGTGCTAGTGGAGGCGTCTGTCTGTGTGACAGTGGAGACGTCTGTCTGTGTGCCAATGGAGACGTCTGTCTGTGTGACAGTGGAGACGTCTGTCTGTGTGACAGTGGAGGCGTCTGTCTGTGTGTCAGTGGAGGCGTCTGTCTGTGTGCTAGTGGAGGCGTCTGTCTGTGTGCACCGTGCGTGTGCTGCTGGCTGTGTGCTCGGGGAGCGGTAGTGTAGCGCTGTTAGCGCTACGCTGCGCTACGAACCCGAACCAGTTCGATTCCCGCTCACGGCCAACACCGGTGACGATTATCTGAACCGGTCCTAGGCATCCCCTTGGTCGACTCAGCCTCAAATGAGTACCTGGTGCGATGTGTAAACATCGCCACTGGGGAGACAAAGGCGGCCACCCACTAGGGCTGAACGATTGATCGATTTTCAATCGAAATCGCAATTTGAAACAATGCGTTTAGTAAATCGCAAAGGCTGCATTTTTTTGCGATTTGAAAAGTCATTACTTTCTTCTTGGAATTGTTTTATTTTCAATTATTATAACTTTATTTATTTAACTTAACAATTTTTCTTACGTTTCATTGTTCTATTTCAATTAAAACATTTTTAATAAATACATGTTGGAAGCAATTCATAGATTTTAAGTTTTCATCCTTGCATTAGAATATATAGAGCAGTTCATATTTTGATGGTATCACGTGGTAATGACCCATCACATGTTTAAATCTATTACACAGTGAATATTGAACTGAAGCTTGACTTACATTTTTTAAAATCACAAATCAAATCGCATTATCTGTCAGAAAAATCGCAGTTAGATATTTTCCCCAAATCGTTCAGCCCTACGACCCACCCCTTGTGTACCGTGCCGGCCTTCCGAGGTGCTCGCTAACAGCACTTGCCCCTACATTATATTAATGCTATATGGGGACCTTTGTCTCGTTTTGTACTTGTGTATGTCTTCTACACGCGTTTGTATGTACTGCAGGAGTTTATTATTCTTTATTATTATATTTTTATTATAATTTTATGTTTTTGCTGCCTTCAAAGTCCTGAGGTGAGACTTACTCCTGAGGATGTACACACGTTTTAACAACCGCAATTATTATTTATACTGCATTTAATTAATTTTAAGGGTATAAATATGCTCATTGATTTATTTACTTTAATACAAAATAATGTATTAAGTTATGTTTTAAGTGGCTGAGGAGGTGGTTATTTTTAAGGGTTAAGTCAATGTGATGAGATATGTAATGTACGCCTGTACGGTGTATGTGTACGTCTTTGTAGAAGTGGGTGTATATCTTGCCTGGCACGGGTAATGTGGTGTTTCAGTTGGGTTAAGTGTTTATAAAACTGACAGTGAGGAGGCTTACCCAAGGCCTACCCTCGCAGGCTGCTGAGGAGATGGAAACTGCCTCAGGAGCACGTGGTCACAAATCACTCTTTAAGTCCTTCCAGAGAGTAACTTTCAACGCCACACCTATTACCATCCTTAAGGAAAACAACGGTGATCCAATCTCCAAACCCCAGAAACAGGGCTACAGGGTCGTGATTCGTCGTGGTGGTGGTGGTGAAAGTGGTGATGGCGGTTTTCTTCATAGGTTGATGTAGACTGTAGAGAAACGACTCTAATTTACATTGTGGTTGATGAGTCAGATGTTCGTGTTAGGAGTAGCGGAGTGCTGCATCACTCTTATGATGCCTTCTTCGTCTTGGTGAATCGGGTTTTGAGTCTACAGTTTATTGTTCCTTGTTTCTGTACTGGGTGGTTTGTCCACAGTCGCACACCGGGGAGTTTTACTTTTTAAATGTTTGCGTCAAGTATCCGCATCTGCTGCCATGGTTTGTGCAGATGTGGTTTAGGGTTGCCCCATCAGGTTCGCGGACGATTGGTGGTGGAGTTGGTCTTGTTGGTAGTGGTGGTGGGATGTGATGGTGATTGTGATGGAGGTGGTGGTAACGATAGTCATATGATCTCTCCCACTCTCTCCCAATCTACCACAGTCTCCGCTCTCCTTGCCTCTCTCCCCCACACAGGTCCCAGCCGATCACCAACTTCTTCAAGCCCAAACCGTTGAGCGACCTCGGTAGGTTACAACACGACCCCTGGATAGGAGTCAGAGGTCGCATCCACCCTAGCTCCTAGTCGCCACAATTTGACGTTTTCATTTCTGCCCTTTCCCCGGTCTTCTGACAGCTCCGTTACACCGCACCACGAGACGTATTGGGTTGCTGTGAGGGACGTCACCTACGTGGTTTCCACCCTGAGATGCCTTAGTTCACCTCCTGAAGATGCCCACAGCAGTAGTGTGTGGCAAAAACTCAAGTGTAATAATTTCTCGACACACGGCCCAACCAGAAGACCCACACCTAGATAATTAATGAGTGTGTCGCGAAAACTCGTGTGTGTGCGCGTGTGTGTGTCCACGTGTGTCTACGTGCGTGTAGGGGGTGCATCTCTCCCCACCGAGGTCCCCGCACCAGAAAAAGTCATGTTGCCATCAATCCAGCTCGGGCCCTGCGTCAACGCCATGGACCCTATTGTCTTCCTTGGGCCCCGGATTAGGGCTCCAAGCGGTGGTGCTGGTGACGGTGCTGGTGGTGGCGGCCGCAGTTGTAGTGGTGATGGTCCCGGTGCTGGTGGTGGCAGTGGTGGGGTGAGTGGGGCGGTGGATAGGGCGGTGAGCGGTGGGGTGAGCAGGGTGGTGAGCCGGCCCATGAGCTACAAGCCGGTGTTGGTGCTGGAGAAACTCCAGGAGGACGAGGTGCTCTTCCATACATGCTCGTCCTCCAAGTTGGCGCTGGACGTCTCCTCGGGCGGCAGGAATAAGCGGCGAGCGAGTGGCGCGACAAAGAGTGACGACGATGGCAGTGGAGAACGGAGGGCTGGTCGTACGAACAGGTTGCAGTCATCCTTTGACCATTGTGACGGTGGTGGTGGTGGTGGTAATGACGCCGACGATGATGACGAGGAGGAGGAGCTGCCGAGCCTGAGGACAAGGACGGTGCAACAGGCGACTAGGCTGTCCCCTGAGACCCCCATCATGGAACGGCTCCGTGCCATAGCGCAGCAGAGAGAGCGGTGAGTCCTGAATCGCCCTCATTCACCCTCACCTGACTTACCCTCACTCACGCGACTCTCCATCACTCACCAGACTCGGGCTCACCTCGCTCACCCTCGCTCAGCCCACTCGCTTCCTTCACTTGTCTCACTCCTCGGATCCTCTTCACCCCCGGCACTTCTATCACCTCCCTCACCTCGCCCCTCGCACCCCCGCCTAACCCCTCCCACCTCACCGCACTCACCTCCATTGCCGTCTCCCCCAGTACCCAGAGCGAGGGGGCTGTCCTGCCCCGCGCCCTGCACTGGCAGCCGCACACCAGCGACGAGGAGGACGAGGGTGAGATGGACGAGGAGGGGGTGTCTGAACGGCAGCTCCAGGAGGTGCCCAACCTCCCTAGGTAACGCGCGCAGCCCCATGCCCACATCCATCTCTGATGGGTGGTGGTGGTGGTGGTGGCTACACACGCGTGTAATCACACACACATGCACTGAGCTGCGAGACAACCGAGTTCCAGACCAATCATTATTTTCACGGCAGTGGTGGCTATGCACGTGGCCTGTGATCCAGCACTGTGGAGGCAGCAAGGGTTGCTGGATCATCGCACAGATGTTGTGAAACTCCCTTCACATGGGTGGACGTCAAGGAGGGGCCATACTCTTGCTCGCCAGGAGAAGGCAGCATGGCAAAGTGAGGACTAATCTCCATATATGAAAAAAAACAAGAATAGGTTTTACCCATTCTCGCAATAAAACAACTGTTAAGATGTTCAAACACCAAATATAAACTTTTTGTAAGGAATCCTGTCTGCATTAACCACACGTACTTGTGGTGAACATGCAAAGAAAACATGCTCTGATAATATAAGCATTGTCTGATCGGTTCTCTGGTTTGACACTGGTGAGACTCTGCCCTAAAGAAGGCTGTTTCAAGTGTACACCAATGAGTTTCAAAGACAATGCATCTATTATGAGAGCATGTTTTGTTTTTATTGCCAGAAAGGTAAAACCTATTCTTATTTTTCCATACTTTGATACTGGCAAAAAAGGTCCCATTGTGTAATCTCCATCTCTTCCAACTGTGCGGGATAGAGTGTTGCCTCGCGTGCGTTTTCTCTGGGTGCTTCAGTTTCCTCCCACATGTATACACACTCATTAATCGGCCAATAACACCTTCATATATAGAGGATCGCAGAGCGTTTGGAGGACTGTGACACCGACTCAGCACCTGGCTGCTGATTCCCGCTTGGCTGGGGCTCCTCCTTGTGCCTCATTCGAATCGAGTCGGCCATTGTGTGCCGGCGTCACCTGCCAAAGTTGCCTAAATGTAAAAATGACAGAGAAAATCACTTAACTGAGCTTACACAAAACACAGCAGCGATCACCGCTGCCTCCACCGGCATACTGAGAATGCCATCTCGCAGCCAGGAGCTGAGGCGCCTCGTGCCGAACAGGGGCAGCTGCCGCTGAGGGCGCCTTTTCGAATGCGTTTGAGAGCTGCTTGTCGTGCGCGAAGCCCCCCGACTCTCCCACCCCCCCCTCCCCGGCGCCCGGTCGGGAACATCCCCCGCCACGTCGTGACCGGGCACCGTCGCTTTGCTTGTGCGTGCGGCAGCTCGCTGCAGCACGTGCTCCAGGCCCACATGGGCCCCGTCTACTCCGTCCCGGACCACCCTCCCGGCGAGGTGCTGCTGGGCCCGCCGTGCGCCAGTTGCGGTGCACCCTTTTCGAGCGCCCCCTTGCGGCTGGACGGCCTCTCCGATGAGCCGCTGGGCACCATGCTGCGCAGGTGAGCGCGGCGGGAGCGGTGAACTAGACGAGCTCACGCTCTCGGCCAGCCCGAATGGGTCAGAGGGGGACATTCCACGTTCCTGTTGCGGGGACGGTTCTTTCCCACATCGTGTTACCGATTGTACTGACCCCGGACAGAGGAATGACAGGCTTGGTTAACTCGCCCACTCCGACCAGGATGTGAACTCGCAATCTTCCCATTGCGAGCCGCTCGCTCTACCGCCGAGTCGCCCGCCCGAGCAATCATTACTGCTGCTGTTGTATCTGGGGTCGAACACTCAGTTCCTACTTCGCTGTACTCGCTTACACACTGGCGGTCAGTCTCCTCCGTGTCGCTCTTCTATCCCCGCTACTACCATGGCTACTCTTCCCGTGACGTTCACTCGCTGATTCATCCAGACTGTTTAGCCATCGTGTTGCAGGTCAAAACGACTCGCCCACTCATTCACCCACTCACTCACCCACTCACTCGACACTCACCCACCCACTCACTCGACACCCACCCACCCACTCACTCGACACGCACCCACCCACTCACTCGACACCCACCCACCCACTCACTCGACACCCACCCACCCACTCACTCGACACCCACCCACCCACTCACTCGACACCCACCCACTCACTCGACACCCACCCACTCGACACCCACCCACCCACCCTTTCACCACGCTGCAGGTCTCTGCTTCTTCCCTCACACTGCTGCACTTGGGAATTCTCTCCTCCCGTCATCACAGGATCGTGAGAGATGGCGATGGCTTGGGGAAGCTTTCATCTAGCAGTCGCTGGATCACGGTTGCTGCTGCTTGATGATGATGATGATGACGACAACGATGCCGTTGTGTGTGTGATGTCAACACAGTGGTGCTGGCCTGTTGGAGCTGGTGGAGCTGGTGCAGTCTCGACTCAGCCCAGTGCAGTGGGAGCAGCAATGGCTCTTCAGGGTAACCCCTCAGCCCTCACCCCTCACCTCATCCTCCCTTTTTTATCGTCTCATTCTGTACAGTGGAGTTCAAACCGCTTGGCTAAGCGTCGCCTTAATATCTCATTGGCATAAATAATTGGTTCTCACGTGCACAGGTGTGTGCTGTGTGCACGCTGTTTGCACGCTGTGTGCTTGCTGTGTGTGTGTGTGTGTGCTTGTCACGAGTGTGGGAATCGTTTGATCGATGATTCGGTGCGTGCCGAGATAAGCAGAATCATCGGCAGCAGCACCAGCAGCATCACCAGCATCAGCATAATCAGTTATGTTTGTTTGCGATGCAGATCATGGTGTTGATGGTGATGCTGGTGATAATGCTGGTGATGATGCTGGTGATGATAATGATGCTGGTGATGATGCTGGTGATGATGCTGGTGATGGTGTTGGTGATGATGATGATGATGCTGGTGATGATGTCGTTATTCCCGGGTGCAGGTGGTGGTGAGAGTGGACAGGGACGTGGAGGCAGATATGGCGCGTGCGGCATTGTGGAAAATCTGCAGCCGGAGTCGTGGACGACGTGAGAGGCTCTCCTTGTCACCTGGGTGTGCTGGTGTGGTGCGTGTGTGTGGCGTGCGCAGTGTGACAGTATGATCGACGCGGTGTGATTTGTACGGCATGCGTCTCACAGCTGTGTGGGTGCCATCGCTGCTGGAGTTCTTCTGGGCGCTGGCGATGTTGGGCATCCCGTACTCCGCCATCTTCCCTCATCCCCACTTCACCGTCGGCGAGCTCCTCCATTGCTCAACGTACGCGCCACGCCACTCCACGCCCTACCGCGCCACACCGCCGCACCCTACCACGCCACACCACATTATACCACGCACGTCACACGCCACACCACACTGCACCGCGCCGCACCACGGCACATCGTGCCACGATGAGCTACCATCTAAACTCTCTCACCGCTGATGTTTGCCGTGACCGGGAAGCAAACAGCGCAGTGCGCTAACGGCTGTGCCACCGCTCCACTAGTACCGTATGTGATGCTGTTGTAATTGTATTGGATAATTATCCCAACCCCTCGTGCCCCACTCCCTCCCCACTCGTGTGCCCCCCTTCCTGTGTCCTGGCTCCTACCCCCCATGCCCCCCCCCCCGCCCACCTCTACTCGCACTCTCTGTGCCCGGCCTTCCTCGTGCCCCCGGTCCCTTCCACTCCCTGCGTCAACACCCAATGCTCTGCCCACCCCCCCATTCCCTCAGGCTATGTCCCCTGCCCCCATCCCATCCGCCCTATGCTCCCATTCCCCCCTGAGCCCAGCCCTCCACACTCGTGCCATGCCCCCTGTCCATCCCCTTCCTGTTCCCCCGCCGCCATGCTGACCCTGTTCTTGACCCTCCAGGTTATCTGCGGATGCGGCTGCCCCCCTGGCTGCCTCCCTGGCTGCCCCCATGGCTGCCCCCTTACCGGCGCAGGCTGGGACTGCCAATCACTCCCAGCTCCTCCGCCTCTCCATGCTGCTCCAGGTGAGAGATGTGGAACCGGTGGTGCGTGTGTGTGTATACTTGCGCGTACGCGTCTGCATGTGCATACGCCTGCGTACGTGCGCATGCGTACACGTTCACGTGCATGTGTGCCTACCCGTGAGTGAGTGCGTATCCACACCCGTGCATGCGTACGAATGTTGCCGACCCTCCAGGTGCTGGCGGGCTGCCTGTCTTCTTGCCCCTCCGCCTACTCCGACCGCGAGCTCTCACTGCTCATCTTGGCCATCGGGCGCCTGAACCTCGACCCCGCCCTGCGACCCCTGACCTCCGACCTCCAGCAGCTGCTGCACGTGGCTCTGGGCGGCGTGCGGTGCTGGGCAGAGCAGGTGCTCACCATGACGATAACGATGGTGACGTCGGTTTTCTCTTTCCGCCATCATCCGGCACGGTGGTGACGTCCGTGCCTAACAACACCAAGGGCCTGGGTTTGATTCCTCAAGTGGATGCCCCTTTTTGTGTGGAGGGCTTCTGCCGCTGTTTTTTGCAGTGATTGTGAGTGAATATGAGTTTGCGGGGAGCAGTAGTGTAGCGGTTAGCGCACTGCGCTACCCGGTGACTCGAGTTCGATTCCCGCTCACGGCCTACACAAGTGACGATTATCTGAACCGGTTCTGGACCTCCCCGAAGTTTACTCAGCCTCAAATGAGTACCTGGTGCGTTGTCTAAACATCGCCACTTGGGAGACAAAGGCGTTCGGGCTTTGTGCTGCCCACTCACCCCCTCATGTCCCGTGCCAGCCTTCATAGGTGCTCGCTAACAGCACTTCCCCCAACAGTCGATTAAGGTTATATGGCGCCCCCCCCCCCCCCGTGCATGTGTAGATGCCGCCTCTGCTCTGCTTGCTGAGCCAGCTGTCGAGCCACCATCACAACCTGCTCAGCCTCGTGCAGATGCTGCCCTCCTACGAGCCGTGCTGCAGGTGCTCTACACGATCGCTCTCGAACACATACACTCACTCAACGCTCTTACACCCTGACTCATTTAACAGACAAGCGCCTATGAAGGCTGGAACGACACACGAGGGGGTGGGTGACAAGCTCCATGCCCGGCCGCCTTTGTCTCCCCAGTGCTGCACACTGCACCAGATATCCATTTAAGACTGAAGCGACCCAGAGGAAGCCCAGGACCGGTTAAAATATTTGCCACTGTTTTGGTCGTGAGCAGGACTCAAACTCGGGTCACCGGGGTCCGCAGCCCAATGCACTAAGCACGACGCGACCACTTCCCTCGCACACGCACACCGTGACGCTCGCTCACTCGGGCGCACAAACATAACACGCATGCCCACATCTACGCACGCACGCGCACGTATCGCTGGCGCCCTCAAAGTGACGGCGGTGGCGCCAAACACAGCAGCCGTGTCTGCGCACCTCCTCCCCCCCGTGTCACGCGTCCCGCGTTTCTCGTCGCGTGTCATGCGTTGCGTGTTAGGTATCACACGTCCCGTGGCACGTGCGCTGCCCCGCTGCTTCATTGTATTCCTCATCCCTCGCACTAGCGTCCCCGTCCTCTGCCCATCATTTCTCCAAGGGTCTGTAAATTGAGATGATTTTGTTTTGGTTGCGTTCAAAGCGGCGAGGTAAACAATCTCGAAATTCAGCTTGAGACATTTTTCGTTTTGTTTTCAGAGTTCCGATAACAATCTGTGCTGCACCTCCCCGTACTTCCCCGCACCTCCCTAAGTCTCCCCGAGCCTCGCCGGTATCTAAGCCAGTGCCACATCTGTGCCATGCCATTGGCCGTGACAGGCATCTGATCTGGATCCTGATAAATCTATGCCGCTGTTTGCAACAGGCAACTGCAAAGATGCCTCTGCTTGGCAGTGATTGGTCAGCTTCTGAAAGAGCCGCGGCTTTCGTTCGCACACAGCGAGGAGGGCAGCAAAGACGAAGTGGAGGTGAGGGCACTTTTGTGGATGTGTGCATGGTGGTGAATGAGTGGCGGTGTGCGTGCATGGCGGTGAGTGGGGGTGATGAGTGTAGTATTTTTTCTACGTGGTGGTGAATGTGGTGGTGGTAGTGGTGGATGTTATGTGTGCGTGCATGGTGGTGTGTGTAATGCTGGCCACCCACTCCCTCGTGTGCCGTGCCAACTTTCATAGTTGCTCTCTAACAGCGCTTGCCCCAAAAGTCTGTGAAGGCTACACGGGGGATCTTTGTCTGTGTGTGTGTGCGGTGACTCCCGCAGGTCTCGCTGCTGCTCCCTTTCCTGCCCAGGATGATGTGGAGCTCGCTGGTGCGGCTGCTTCACACGGAGGAGGGGGAGTTGGGGGACGTAACTCGGAGCGAGGGAGGCAATAGCGGCAACCAGCTGAAGAGAGACATGGAGGTGAGGATCCATGGGAGCCGTGTGATCCGGAGCACTTCCCACAATGCCCCGTTCTGGAAATCGCTCTACGGGCGACGTCGTTCCGCTTGCACCCCACCCCGTCTAATCGCCGTGGTCTCTGTGCCCCCCGCCCACCCCCCCGCACCCCCCTCACACCCCTCCACCTCCTTCCCACAGGCGTGCTACTTGAGCTGCTCGCTGCTGACGCTGGCGGACGTGTACGTCGGTGTGCAGCGCCTCTCGCAAGCCCAGCGGGTGCTTGCCGTGGGATGTCGCCAGAGTGCATTGCGTACCCCGGTGCTCGTAGAGTCTGGAATATTCGGAGTCATAATGGAGTGCATGCTGCATCACATGGGCTGCTGTGGGTGGTGCCCGTCAACAACGCTTGGGTGGTGTTCATGCCTGTGTCTGAGTGCGTGTGTGTGCGTCCGTGAGTGTGTGTGCTCAGATACGCACACACACTCACGGAGGGGGGAGCGATAGTGTAGCGGTTAGCGCGCTGCGCTATGAACCTGGCGACTCGGGTTCGATTCCCGCTCACGGCCAACACCAGTGACGATTATCTGAACCGGTCCAGGGCCTCCCCTAGGTCGACTCAGCCTAAAATGAGTACCTGGTGCGGTGTGTAAACATTGCCACTAGGGAGACAAAGGCGGTCGGGTGTGGTGCTGGCCACCCACCCCCTCGTGTACCGTTCCGTCCTTCATAGGTGCTCGCTAACAGCACTTGCACCTACAGTCTGTTAAGGCTATACGGGGGATCTTTGTCTTTGTATCTGAGCCGGACCTGGGCTTCCACTGTGTCGACTCAAATGAGTTCCTGGTGTAAATGTCGCCACTCGGAAGACAAAGGCAGACAGGCGTGATGCTGGGCCACCTACCTGCCCATGTACAGTTCCACCCTTCATAGGTGCTCTTTGGCAGCACTTTCCACAATAGTCTGTTAAGGCTATCGGGGTGACCTCTGTCTTTTTTTGCGTGCTCAGAAACCACTGATGAAGTTGGTGGAGCTGCTGCGTCGCGTGCAGAATGACGTGCGGGACAGTCCCCAACGCCTCTACCGCTCCAAGGTGCACGCGCGCGCCAACGCACGCGCATGCCAACGCACGGGCGTGTGGTCTTGTTTTGCTTGTACTGGGTGTCCGGCCTCCGCAATCCATCTTCATGGCTGTGGTCGTCGTCTTCGTCACCCACGCGCGTCTCTCGCCCCCCCCACCCCCAGCTGAAGAATCTTATCCTGCGCATCGAGTGTCGCTGGCAAGACATACTTGGGTGCATGCAGCCCACACAGGTGAGCGGTGGGAGGAGTGAGTGGCGAGGAGGTGAGCGGGGTGGTGAGCATTGTGATGGGCAAAGTGTGAAGTGTTGCAGTGAGGGAGATTCGGTGTGGTGAGTGGTGTGGTAAGTGCTGTGGTGAGTGGTGTGGAGAGAAGTGTGGCGACCGTTGGGGTGAGCGGTATGATGAGCAGTGTGGAGATGACGCCTGCAAAATCATGATGCCTCGCCCACCCCTCCCCTCCACCACCACACAGGGCAATCTGTTCAACTTCTGGAATCCCTACGAATTATCAGATGAGGAGGTGTGGAGCAATGAGGAGTTTGATGAGGAGAAGAAGGAAATGAAGAAGTGAGACGAGGAGTGGTAAGATGGGGAGTGACGTGAAGAGGTGACGCAAGGAGTGGGAGGTGTGACGACATGAGGAGGTGTGGGATGAGGAAGCTGTCAGAAGAGGTTTTCAACACGAGGAGGTGAGCACAGGTGAATCTTGGTCCCGGCGAGGTGTGGTGTTGGTGGCCGCGTGGTGGACTCACTGCGGGCTACTCAGGAGGCTACTCGGGGCCCCAGAGAGCAAGGCACGACAAGACGAGCACATGGGCCGGCCTCATGGCGTCATCATAACTTACAAACGTGATGCAGCTGGGCGACATTGCGGAAATCAAAGAACGATGTCCTCACAACCTGTTGACATGTGAGTGGACGGATAAAGAGTGATCCGAGAAAACACCAAGACTTGTAGCTGTGTGTGTTGGGTACGCTTTCTGACCGCTCGTCACCAGACTGAGGGGGCCAAACTTGGGCAGCTGGTAGGAGAAGTCAATGGGAAGGATCTCGGATTCATCACCGTTGGAGAAAATTATGCGGTGTCCAATGTTTTACGAGCAAGAGCGAGGATGAAAGCGCGCAGCCCGATCCCAGGTCGACGTAGATTTGCGTGTAGTCCATGCAGCGAAGGTAACGTAGCGCCTGGCGTTGCAGGAGAATTCCAGGCAGGGCCGTGTACGCAACGAATAAAGAGGCCGTTGTGCTGAGAGCGTTACCCGGGGCCGTGCGAGAGCATTTCAGGAGTGCTTCCGCTATTGACAGGGAGAGGGTCGTCGGATTTCCTGCTCGACTTCGACCCATTCCACTCCATCAAACACGGCTCTCACTGCAGCTACGTCAGAGCTACCGAGACGCTGCTGTGTGGACTCGGAGAAGAGCGGTGCAGTGTGCAACCACCCCAGAGTGTTGATGTGCTGTCTCATATCGATAGTTTTATTGTTAAATTGTCTCGCGATGTTCTTCGTAATTGGTGTTTATGTTTGTGTGTTTTTTAAACAAAATCTTGTGATACTCCGGGGTCGTTACGGCGTCACGTCGGGCATTGGCTTGGGCGATGTTCGCCAGCACAGGGCAGTGCCGCCGGTGTTGATTTCACTATCGGCGTGGTTCACGTGAGAGCTGGTGCTCTTTCATACTGGGGTGCTCCACACTGGGGTGCTCCACACTGGGACCCTCCACAATGGGGCGCTCCACACTGGGACCCTCCACACTGGGACCCTCCACACTGGGACCCTCCACACTGGGGCCCTCCACACTGGGGCGCTCCACACTGGGGCGCTCCACACTGGGACCCTCCACACTGGGACCCTCCACACTGGGGAGCTTCATCCTGGGGCGCTCCACACTGGGGAGCTTCATCCTGGGGCGCTCCACACTGAGGAGCTCCACACTAGGACCCTCCACACTGGAGCGCCCCGCACTGGGGCACTCTACGCTGGGGTGCTCTGCAATGGGGAGCCCAACACTGGGGCGCAGGCCTCCGTCCACAGTGAAGAGGAGCTCGTGTGGATATCTCTAGCGCCTCCCCATGTTCTTCCCGTGTTCTTGTGTTGCTGTTGGCTCACTCGAGGTGGCGGGGCTCTCTGAGCGTCCAGTCCAGGGTACCTGTGATATGCGTAAGGAATTTAAATAAAAGAGTAATCTATTTATTTATTGTTTTAACCGTTGCAAAAGTGGAGCGAAGGAAACATCGGCGTCGACTGGGGGTGATTATTGCACAAGCGCAGCGGTGGCCAGCGCAGCAGTCACTCACCCTGGTGGAGCTCGGCAGGCACCTCCCCGCCATCCACGACCAACAATCACCTGGGGTGGATTGAGCCCGTGGTGACAGTTCACCAGTGACATTCTGTACCAAGTACTGCTGGCGTCCTCTGTAGATGTGAGTGTTTTTGTAAGAACAGCACGGGGCCTAGTGGCCGTCAATAATGATTGCGGCGATGAGTACAGGCAGGGTCAAGTGGGGTAACTGGGGGAGATGGAACCCCCGGGGGTGTGAGAGTCTTGAGGCAGAGGAGAGAGTTCGGGGAAAGGGGCCTGGCAGAGCCGAGGTGAATCAAAGGCGAAGCGGAGCGAGGCTCGGGGCTGCTGGGGGGATTCGGGGTCCGGAGCGTCGTCGCTTTCACCGCGGGGGATCGCCATCATCGTCTTGGAAGGCTGCGAAATATGTTATACATCGACGTCTCCTATATCGTCAGTCAGCTCTATAGTGAATGTCGTGTAGCAGCTACAAAGCCACTCAGTGTAAAGTCAGTCAGCTCTATAGTGAATGTCGTGTAGCAGCTACAAAGTCACCAAGTTGTCTATAGTCAGCTCTATAGTGAATGTTGTGTAGCAGTTACAAAGTCACTCAGTGTAGAGTCAGCTCTATAGTGAATGTTGTGTAGCAGCTACAAAGTCACCAAGTTGTCTATAGTCAGCTCTATAGTGAATGTCGTGTAACAGCTACAAAGTCACTCAGTGTAGAGTCAGTCAGCTCTATAGTGAATGTCGTGTAGCAGCTACAAAGTCACTCAGTTGTCTATAGTCAGCTCTATAGTGAATGTTGCGTAGCAGCTACAAAGTCACTCAGTGTAGAGTCAGTCAGCTCTATAGTGAATGTCGTGTAGCAGCTACAAAGTCACCAAGTTATCTATAGTCAGCTCTATAGTGAATGTCGTGTAACAGCTACAAAGTCACTCAGTTGTCTATAGTCAGCTCTATAGTGAATGTCGTGTAGCAGCTACAAAGTCACCAAGTTGTCTATAGTCAGCTCTATAGTGAATGTTGTGTAGCAGTTACAAAGTCACTCAGTGTAGAGTCAGCTCTATAGTGAATGTCGTGTAACAGCTACAAAGTCACCAAGTTATCTATAGTCAGCTCTATAGTGAATGTCGTGTAACAGCTACAAAGTCACTCAGTTGTCTATAGTCAGCTCTATAGTGAATGTCGTGTAGCAGCTACAAAGTCACCAAGTTGTCTATAGTCAGCTCTATAGGTTCAAATTCATAAAAAGAAAATAGACAATTTCTTAATTTGAACCTATCTACGTGACATTACCGAAAGACCTAAAGAATATGAATTCCTGCAGTCACGAAAGCTTTAGGTCAAGACATTCTAGGCTCATATTAGTAATATATAACTTATAAGCAAGACAGCGTCTCTGAGTTGCTACATTACAATTTAATGCATTCATTCTTAAGTCGGGGATTTTTTATTTTCCATTAGCAATCACGAAAATTGTTATTTACTTTTGATGTTCTGATTTTTCCTGAGACGTATTCTGCAGTCCACGTATTGGCCACTTCTATACCTGCGTGTAAACCGACGAGGATCTGTCTCTTAAAGCTCACCTCTTCTCTACTGCTCATCATCTTCTCGCCCCTCCACTCCTTCCCATCCCTCTACCCTTTCGTGATCCCCAAGTTCCCTCTATCGCTGTCACTCATTCCTCAATCCTGGTCGCACGCCCTTGAAATTTAAATAATTTCCGATTATCCTCGTAGCGACTTTTAGCTCCCCATCGAACAAAGATGATAACTGCATTACGCGCTTTGAGATTCGCTTCTGCGGCCGTCTGTAACGCTCTTCCGATATTAGGAAGCCACTAGAGCTATGCACTTTTAAATATCGATTGAAAACGAATTTATTTGAAATAGCTTGTTGTTTAGCTCGTTGTCCTTCCCCCGCACCTCCGAGTAGCACGGTTGGCTACGTACGGTGCGAAAGAAGTTCAACATAATATGCTGTCACCGTTGTGCAAGCTCTGTCAAGCACCCTGAGTGACTATAACCGAGATTACGGGCCACGTGCCGAGTGCACCCACCGCCGGCACCCTCGGCAGGGTGGGAACTCGTGACCCTCCCGGGTTGCGGCGGCCTCTCGCGATGGCCAATGCCGTCGTCGAGGAGACAAAAGGAATGGAGCTGTTGGGAGGGGTGGGGTCGAGCGCCGTTCTTTGGACTCTGCCCTTTGCCTGGGAGAGACCAGCGTCGAGGTTCGATTAGGGAACGAGGTCACCTGCGCCGTGGTGTTCGTGGGTGTTGTGGCGGTGATGGTAAGCGCGGTATTGGTGACGGAAGTGGTGATGGTGGTGTTAGAGGCGGCAGTGATCCTAGGGATCGCTGTGATGTGGGGGTGGAGGGGGAACTCTCCCGCGCCTTCCACGTGGACCCTCTGAGTCACAGTGAGGTCAAGACACACAGCAGCAGCAGCATCATCATCGGCATCCGCTCATGCAGCGGGAGGAGGACGTCATGTCTGGTGTGTCTCCCGCGGTGTGAGTCACGTGGTCTGGTTCCTCTGCGTCACCCGGGCACTTTGAACCCTCCACCGACTCGCAGTGGCGACAAGTTAACGTCCTCGTCTGATATGCAGGAGGTCGTGGGTTCGAACCCGACCCTGACGTCTGCTTATTTGGAGTTCGCGAGTTCTCCCCGTGATCGCGTGGATTTTTCTCCGAGTCCTCCGGTTTTGCAATCCACATTTATAAACGTGCTTTTGAAGTATTTTACTGCTTTACAATTTCCACGTGATAAGCCACTTCGTTGAGCGATCATTTGTGGCCAGGTCGCTTCTGAAAAAGAGCTACATAGCTTAGTGGGACCTTAGCTGGTAAAATAAATAAAGAGAGTTTTAGGCGTGGGGAGGCCCTCTTCCAGTAGTGGATTGTCAACAAGGGCCCTACACAAACACGTCCTGTGGTGAGACGTGTCCCCAGGTGTGTGGTTAGGTGTGCCCGTGGGACGACAACACAAGGGCCCCTTAACAACAGTGAACTTTCCTTTGTGTTTCACCAAGAAATGAATTGGGGTTGGAGCTTCCGCGGATTTCTCTGCTGTGCGTGACGGACAAAGAGGTGAGTGGGGGGTGACGTAATAGGTGGGTGCGGGGGAGACTTGGGTAGAGTTCACAGGTACAGGTGAGTTGGTGTCTGAACATGCGGCGCAATAATGGCTGGCGATGTTCAGGGGCTCGCTGCCAATGTGGAGGTCTCCTGCTGCTGCTGCTGCTCGCCACGACGCCCTCTGCGTCAGCGGGGGGAGAGGAGTTCGTGTCGTGTTGCCCTCGCCAGAGACGTCTTTGACTTTGTGGTGTGGGCACGCGCGGGCACTTCGCGTTCCTTCGGTTTTTTGTCCCCACTCGGGAAAAAATAAAATCTCAAATGATGTTTTGCACATCCCATCAGACACACGGTCTTGCGCGAGTGGTTATTGACGCAGTATCATTGGTTCGACGCACTGCAAACTTTGGACCGGTTTCGACATCCAGTGTCTCAGCAGCCAGAGTCACGCTCTGCTTGAACCATTGCTGGTGAGCTGCCAGCTGTTTTCTGACAGATGTTCATAACTAAGGATCCTAGTTCGACACAAAGCTCTACACGCTACACAACACAGGATAATCAGCAGTAGCTTTGTTGTGGAGAACGTGACCAGATCGATCCACAGCCCCGTGGCGAATCTCTCCCCATGCAAAATCAGTCGCTCCCCTCCCCTCCCACGCCCCCAGGAGGTGACGCGCACGGCGTCTGCGTCTCGCCTGAGTCGCAGTGCAAACTCACTCACTCCACCCTGCGCCAGCTGAACTCGCCACTAGCACGTAAACACGCAGCTCTCATAGCAGGTGAACTTACAGGTGAGCAACACTCGCACGTACACACTCACTTGCACGTACACACACACACGTACACACACTCACTTGCACGTACACACTCGCACGTAAACACGCAGCTCTCATAGCAGGTGAACTTACAGGTGAGCAACACTCGCACGTACACACACTCACTCGCACGTACACACACTCACTCGCACGTACACACACTCACTCGCACGTACACACACTCGCACGTACACACACACTCGCACGTACACACACACTCGCACGTACACACACTTGCACGTACACACTCGCACGTACACTCACACATACACACATTCACTCGCACGCAAACACACAACTCTCATACCAGGTGAACTTACAGGTAAGCAACACTTGCACCCACAACGCGCACGTACACAAACTCTCACGTAAACACTCTCACAATCATACATCTCGCGTAAGCACACTCGCTGATTCTCGGAGACTAACGTCACGACAGCCTCATTCGCTGACCTGTACATTCACGCGAAACACTCAATCGTGCACGCCCTCTCACGTAAACACTCGCCACTCACGGTATTCATTCGCACTCACAGCCACACTCCTTCACACGCGAATACTCTCACACACTTACACCGTCACACTCGCACACTCACATTCACACTCCCTCGCACTCTCTCACACTCACACAAAAGACAAAGACAAAGATCCCCCGTATAGCCTGAACAGACTGTAGGGGCAAGTGCTGTTAGCGAGCACCTATGAAGGCCGGAACGGTACACGAGGGGGTGGGTGGCCAGCACCACGCCCGACCGCCTTTGTCTCCCTAGTGGCAATGTTTACACACCGCACCAGGTACTCATTTGAGGCTGAGTCGACCTAGGGGAGGCCCGGGACCGGTTCAGATAATCGTCACTGGTGTTGGCCTTGAGCGGGAAACGAACCCGGGTCGCCAGGTTCATAGCGCAGCGCGCTAACCGCTACACTATCGCTCACACTCACACAGTCACACTCGCACACTCACACTCTCACACTCGCACCGTCACACTCACACTCTCTCACACTCGCACTCTCTCACACTCACACACTCACACAGTCACACTCACACTCTCTCACACTCGCACCGTCACACTCACTCTCTCACACTCTCTCACACTCACTCTCTCACACTCTCTCACACTCACTCTCTCACACTCTCTCACACT